CCTGCCTGCCTGCCTGCCTACATACACACATACATACATATATGTGCTCATATGTACAGATATATCTATATATTTTTATATACCAACGAGAGTGACATACAGCACAGCTTACTTCCACGGCAATCCACGCTGCGACACACTAGCAATCACAGGGAAAATGCAGATGCACTCCACTATATAAATACATATATGTCTTCATGTATATATATATATATACACTTTAAATTATTTATGTAGACTTATGCTCACATGTAGTTTTTCACCCCAAGCCGCAAGGCCTGAAAGCAGCCTGCAAGAGCGAGACTCATCTTTCAGGCCATGTCCGAAGAATTCGGACAGGCCCTGGTCCTGGACCAAGCGTCGGTGAGCAGCACCAACCGGCGAGGCCGGTGGAGGATTGGTAGCTTAGGGGTTTAGGGTTCAGGGTTTGGGGTTTAGGGTTTACGAGGGTCTACAGGGGCTAGTTCCAGAAGTTTTTTTGGGGGGGTGGGGCCATAGAACCATCTCTTGTAGCTGCCTTTCGGGTGGATTTACAGAGTAGCTATACAGTGTGTACTTCGGCTTTGGGGAAGTTCCCACCCAGAAGCTTCTGTGCGCCGCGTCACGGGTTGGTGTTGCTCAGGTCTCCGAAAAACTTGTTTGAAGAATTCTGGGCTCGCGTGCCGGTTTCGAGCCATGCTGTGCACTCCAGGACGGATCCATAGTAACTGCAAACGTTCGAGCATTCATCTGCCTTTGTCCTGCCACACGATGCTTCTACCGGGGCACAGCAGGAGAACAACAATCAGCTGCTCAGCTGCTGCAAAATCAAAATTCCGAGCGCTTGCAGGCCATCCACCTCAGGCGGACAACGTGCAGTTTGACTCGGCGCCTGGGTTGCGGTTGGCTCTTTCCTATCGGTCACAAGGAGGACTTCTACAAATATGTGGGTTCAGTAACACTGCCCACAGACCGAGAGCCTGCTATGATCAAACAGGGGCTATGCCACTGCTAGCTCTCGGGAAAGGAGCTGTAGTATATTGCAGCTCTGTTGGATCTTTTGGGTGAGATGCCTTTCGCATGAGAGATCCTCCGAGGGCCAGACAGAGAGCGAACTAAGATTAAAAAAGAGGCCCCTGGCATCGGGCTCCGCGCTTTCTTTTTGCTTTTTGCGGAGTCCTCTTGAAGAAGCTGAGGTCTGGTGGCAAGGCCGGCAGCTCAAGCAGAGCGACGAGGTGGAGGCCGTCCGTGGCGGCGCCCCGGTGCTGTGGAAAGCGTCCAAGACGGGCTACAGGACAGAGCTGCCCATAGGCCCCATAGTAGTTCCTTTTTGGGGTTACTTTTTAGGGTTCTATATATGAACCCCAAGAAGGAACTACTTTAGGGCCTATGGGTGTGGCATTGGGGTTTAGGGTCTCGAGTCTCGATGTCGCGGGTCCCTACACCCTAAGCTACTCGGTTCATATCCTGTCGGGAGGATGCAGGAATTAAGGGGGGTAGGGTCCGAAGGCCCCTCCTACGGAAACCCTGACCTGAGCAGCCGAATCGGCCGCCGACCTCGGACACAACGAGCAATGGCGAGCCAAGCCTCAAGAGCTCTCCCCAGCCTCCCCAAAGCCCTATAAACCCTAGACTAGACCTTGACCCCTTAATTCCCTAAACGCCAACCTCACAACCCCCTTCCAAGAAAAACCTTAAACTCTAAACCCTAAAATTTGTAGGAAACTTTGTAGGACAAAGAGGGCTCCACAAAAAGAGTCAAAGCCCTGGATCCGCGCAGGAACTACAGCGCCTCCATCTCCCTGACAAACCCCGAGGACTACGGCGGTGGAAGCCTCGAGTTCTTTGGCTCTTGGGGCGCCTGGGCTTTCAGGGGCTGTGGGGCTGAAACTTATGGGTTTTATAGGGCTTATAGGGTCATACACATTCAGGGGCCGTGGGGCTTACGGGGGTTTTAGGGTTTATAGGGGCCATACACAAGTTCAGAGTATGCGCTGCGATGTTTCTCTGATTCTTTTGTTTAGGCGGTTTAACCGTATCCTTTTCGCCCCGATGCGGCAGGCCACGCAGGAATCCTGATCGTCAGGATGTAGAGGCTTAGGCATTCAGATTCTGTGGTTCTGTCCTGCCGATGCGCTGCAGAAGATAAACGTGTGCCACTGAGCTGTGCCAATGAGGTGCTACAGCGCCTGAGGCTTGCATGCGGCCACCTGCAGGAAGCGGTAGCCAGACAAATCTTGGACGGTTTATGCTTCTACTTATAGCTACACATTGAACCACATTCAGCTCGGGATAGTATACTGTCCATCTTCGTAGTACGAGAGAATCGTCGGTACCTCGCGTTGTTGCAGGCTGGCGCATAGTAGCTCTATAGGCGCTTGGTGTCCCAATCAGTGTCTCGAGGGTCATGATAAGAAAATGCGCGGTTCTCCTCCGTGTCACGGCATGTCCTCTTTCACGATGATGACGAGCAACTTAAGGCGTAGCCTTTTGCGGGTGCCAGAACAACATCCACGCGATTTCTGGCGTGACCTGGGGTTGCAGGCTCGTCCTGGTGGTGTGGACACGTCATCCGGATGCATATGTTCCAGAAGAGCAGACACATCTTTGCTATTTTAGGCCGGGCACTGGCCTAAGTGTATGGTTGACTTCGGCGGATCTGCAGAACTACCCGAAGCGCAGGCGAAAAAATGTTGGCTATGGTCCACATCGGCCGCATGGGGACGAAGAGGTGTTTGAGCTGAATGCGAGGACACCGAGTGCCGAATGCAAAGAGTCTGCAGAGAACTCCTCGTCCCTGGATTGGTCGCTGGTTAACTGAAAGCAACCGGCCTTTCCCCGAGTTCACGGGACTCCGATCCGGCTTTTCCTGCTATGAATGTGTCGGTCGGCTTCCGGTTGAGCTGGTTCTGCAAGGCTACTGCGACACCGTTGTTTCGTGCCTCTGAGCTTCTTTTGGGCTTGTCAAGCCTGGTCGTCACATGCAGCAGTAAGTGCCGATACATGCCCTGGCCGAGCCTTACGAGGGACCGTCCCTTCGTGAAACAGAGCCGACTCTTATCTCCAGAACCAGGCGTTGCGGCCAGCTCAAAGGGGATAAAGTGCGACCTCTTCTCAGGGTTTAATGATTTAGTGCTTGTATTTCGGATTTAGGTCTATCTGCATGCGAGCAGAAGAGTGCAAGCGAAGCGCGTGGCGCTCTTTTGGACCCTTGCGGTAACTAGTGGATCCTAGCGGACGGTTGCCATAATAGGTTGGAGATCCGCAAAGCCTTTTGCCTTAGACCTGCGATTTTTGGCACAGATGCTGAAAGGCTTCCTACTCTCCCGGTGCCAATTCACGAGGATGCGTCATCCAGTGCAGACGCTTTTACATGGGGCAAATCGACAGCAAAAGGCAATAGGCAAGTTTCCGAAGGCTCTGTCGAACACTTCTTGCACGTTGATTGCTGCTCTACTCAGTTCTGGAAGCTTTTATCTTCCATTGATGTTGGGCTCCTTGGAGTTAAGCCCGGTATATGCAGCGCAAGAAAGCAGACTTAAACATTCTACCTGAACCGTTCCCCAGATTGCACGGAATCCTGAAGTGGAAGATGCACGCAACTCAGAACTCCAGAAACAGGGCATGACCAGAGCAGGACTTTTTCAGGAGTACTCACACCCTATGGACCGCACCTCTTACACACTTCTTTACGTATGGTGCGGCTTCACAGGCCCTGTGTAACGAACACGGGGAACACTTTTGATCACTCTTTATCGCTGCTGCACGCAATGGATCCTGCTGCGCTTGAAGAGTTCCGAAAGCTGGACCAGGACCTGTGACTTCCCTAAGGGTCCAGGTATCTTTTTAGGAGGGTCCGGAATCTCCCAGGGAGAGCCCTTGGGTCTCCTTGGG